ACTCAGTAAACATCTATCGTAGAGTAATTCTGTGATAGTAATAACTATATAATCATGACATTGTAATGAGCTTTTGCGGAACTTGCATAGATTTTTCAAGACTTGATGGCCTTTGTGCGTGGAGAGACCTGTCAGGACCAGAGAGGAAGGGCTTCGAAGCCCTTCTGTGCCAGTGTTTCACCACCCTCATGGTGAAGAATTTCTTCCTAATATCTAATCTAAATCTGCCCTCTTTTGGTTTAGAGCCATTCCCCCTTGTCCTGTCACTACACACCCTTGTGAAAAGCCCCTCTCCATCCCTCCTGCAGGCCCCTTCAGGCGCTGGCAGGCTGCTATAAGGTCACCCCGCAGCCTTCTCTTCTCCAGACTGAACAGCCCCAGCTCCCTCAGCCTGTCCTCATAGGAGATCATCCTTGAGAAGAGCTGCCTCTTGATGCGGTTGACATATTTAAGGAAGGGAACTCTCCAAAGGATGCTCTGTGCCATGTGGGGCACCTGCACACCCACCTTCCTCTTCTTTGTCCATTACTGGGCGGTCTGGAGGGAACTTTTGGTTAGTTGGTCTAATGTTGCTCACAGGCAGAATTAGTGGAAACATGATAATGAGATCCAATTAATAAAGAACAAAACGATGGAACATAATTAATACTAGTCAAGAACAATTTAGGGAAAATGGGTTTTAGTAGAAGCAGGTATCTGGGTAAATGCGAGAAGTATGTAAGGGTTTTGTCCTAGAACAACGTGACCCTAAAAAATGTGATAGTGATAAATAGATTAAAAAACTTCCTTCACTTTTTTAAAAAAGGGGTTGTCAAGGAAAAGCCTCAAAGGCAGGAGACTCTTTTGAACGCCTGATGCTATTCAGTGTTTTCATTTGATTTGGAGAAAACATGAGTTTAAACTTCACTGAATTCACAGGCAATGTGTACATTAGAAGGATAGTAAATAGTATTGAGAGTGGGAGAGTTGTATAGAACTGTCTGAACTTTTTGCTCTCTCTCTTCAAATAAAATGTATTTTTGTACTTATTTTTTAATGTGATGTTCCACAAGGCTGTACCAGCAGGACAGGCAGGGACTACACAGTGTCCAGGAGAGGTGTGATGCTATACCAAGAGCTTACAGTGGTCTTGGGAGATACAAGCAGAAGAAGTGAAGATGAAAGTACAAGCTGATTTTTACCTCTGTGCATGTTTTTGCACTAAAATGCAGTCTCCAGTTCTGCTGTGTGTGTGTTCTCAAAAGGGCATTGAAAGCCTGGGGAGGTCATTAAAAAGATTCAAGGGCAGGAGAAAAAAATGCCAGAGCATGAGAAACATAAAGAGCTCACTGTGTTTAACTTGTCAAAAAAGATTGAGAGATGACTTGATTACACTGCAGAAGAGCCTTTATAGCGAGAACACAAAGCAGCCCTTGCAGTGGAGAAGGGCATTAAGAAAACTGATGGGCGAAAGCGGAAACCAGACAAACTTAAGTCAGATTTCTGAATGTCAGGTAGTAAAATAAGCTGCACAGGCAAGTGTCAGATTCTTCATCTCTCGATACCTTCAAATCCAGAGTGGATAGCTTTTTAGAGGATATTCTTTAGCCAGACATAGTTGTTTGGCTGAACAGAACAGAATCGAAGTGCCTGTCAACACAGAGAACTTGGCAAAGTGTCTGCTGGTCCCTTCTGGTTCTTGGCATGTGTGAGGTGTAGTGTATCTTCATCCTGGGTACATAAGCAAAAACTTTCTTCTTTCCAATGTCATTCTGAAGCAGAATCTGCTCTTCAGCTGTGTATTGCACTGCAGGCTTGACTGGCTTCTTAACCTTTGTCATTTACTGTTTAATTGGAAAAGGTGCAGGGAATAAATCTGGTGACACTGCAGAAAACATCGATACTGCTCTTACTTGTTCCAGATACTGGTAACAACTAAATGAAGACAAATGGTTTTGCCAGGCAACACCCACGTAGACGCACACCATTTACCTTTTTGATTTGCAAAAGTGTTGAAGCACCGGATTTTGGGTAAGGCTGGAGGCAGAGCCCCTCCGCGCTGCTCCACACTGACCAGAGGATGTTGCTAATAGGTGACTATTGCTTGCAAAATGTTTTCGGTCCGCAGATGAGCAGTGCATCTTTGTCCATATTCATTTGCTTGCAGCGCTGACCCTTTCCAGATGTGCTACTCCTGATCTGCTCTCCTCTCCCAGCTAGGGGAGTTAAAACACTGTATTTTTGTTACTTGCTGACTACAGGTAAAATTTATGTGAGTGGCTTTGGAACCTGTATCCCATTTCTGGTGACATCTCTGGTGCTTATGTTGATCTCTTATCCTGTTTCAGCCTTGACTCTGGCCACAGTGGTTTGGGAGCTTGCCTTTTTGGCAAAACAGGTTATTCCCCTTCTGTTTAAAGGAAACTTCTTGCAAAAAGAGACTGGTGGGGGGAAAGGCTGGAGAAACCTTTCTCCAGAATAATGGGAGATGGTTTGTGAGATGCAGGAGTCCCTGTGCGTCTCTGTCTGGAAGAGGAGGGAGGAGCAAAGGATGCTTGTCATCTATTGCTGTCATCTTGTTTTTTAGAGTTTCTCCATTATAGTTTTTCACTTTTGTTTTTAAATAAGAAGATCCATGTGTCATAGCTGTAAAAGTAATCAGGAATACTAGAAAACCACCCACTCATAGAAAGCTAGCAGTGCGAAGCTGGGCATGTGGTGCTACAGCTGAATGTGCCCCGGGCCAGCTGAATCTTCTCCGGTACAGTGCTCTGGTACTGCCCATCTTCCACGGTGCTGCCTCTCCTTGTGTTTGGGCTGTTCTGCTGTGTGTCATTAGCTTTGAGTCAGGAGATGGCTAACGGAAAGCAGCAAGCACCTTGGGTTGCTCCAAAGCCTTGCTCAGTCCCAAGCCTCTTGTTTGTTGCCAGATGTGGATGCGTAGGCTCCTAAGTATGAATGTCTCCAGGCATATCTCATTAGACTGGGGAAATAGAGATAATTTTTTTTTTTTTTAAACAGATGTTGCATAGTTGGGCAACGGGGCCTTTTAAATTTGTTTCCTACACTTATGTCATTTGCTGCTTTGACTCTGGTGGCCTACCAAGGCTCTCGTAAGGACTAACCTAAAAGGCGCGGAAGGATGAGTGTTCGGAGAGTGCACACGAGAGGGAGGGATGGGCATTGTTGGACGTAGATGACTAAAAGATTGTTTGTGGAGGTGAATGCGAGACAAATTAAATAGACCATCAAGTCTGCCTGCAAAGCTGTGGGTTGCTCTCTAAAGGAGCCTAGAAACCCCATGAGAAGATCCAGCAGGCTGTACAAGGCTTGTCAAAGGTGAGTCAAAGGGAGCTGCTCAGCGGTGGCTGGGGAAGTAGGTGAGGCCATTGGATGAGGCTTTGCTTTTATTGATGCCTATATTGTTATTCCTGCCTGAAGGTTTAGATTTTGAAAGGACATTAAAAATATGTTTCACGTTTGTGTAACTTCCTGATTTATACAATGTGCTTCGTACATTGCTCCAGGCACACAAACAATACAAACTGTAGTTAATGTTAGCCCAGAACATGAATATTCTATCCTCTTAGCCCATAGGGACATGCATGTGCGTGCTGCACCGTATGTGGGGACAGCAGCTGGTACCGAGCCCTGGGGCCAACACGTTTACGCAGTTGGAAACCTCATGATACCAGAGGAAAAGGGACTTTATAGTTGAGTTTATACAAGAATTTTTGCCTTTGCATTTCTGTGTAGGTATATTTTGAGAAGTAGGATAGGGAGCATTTCTGATATCTTACTGATTTTTGTAAATTTTTATTTTAAAGTGCCTGTTCACACCAAGATCCAAAGAAAAGTGTTTTAGGTCAAGAAGTTTGCTACACAAATAACAACGTTCTACATATTTTAGACAGGTTCTTACAGATATCCTTGTATTTCCAAAGGAATTGGGAAAGACTGGTTTTCTTTACTGTTTGGGGATCCTGAGTTCTCTAGACTGAGTAGCTGCATCATTTCTTCTCCAGGATGGTACTGAAAAAGCTGGTGGGTTTTTGAGAGCGTTGCAGGTCAGAGCTTTGTTGCCTGAACCCAGGTTAATGGACGGGCATCTTTAACGGGTTTAGATAATTCTGCTTTGTTCAGAAGACTTGTAGCAGATGTGTTTCAGGGTGAGTGCTGTATGTGGGATGAAATCTGGAGCTTCCTAACACCAGCTAAAGCAATTAATAGTAATGGTATTCATGACATATTCATTACATAACATGGCTTGTTCTGAGGAACAGACTGCTAGGGATGGAGGATGAAAATAGCAGCTGTTAATTTCAGAGCGCTGAGCCTCTGAAGACTGCACCCAGGAGGAACCAGAACCTACTTAATTCCCTTTGCACTCTGGCCGAGGGTGTGTGTGAAGGGAAATAGTCCTCTCCGGGGTTTGCTGCTCCAGGTGCCACCAGGGAATGTTGTGGCCGTGCCCAAGTATTCCCCCGTGGCCCATCCTGGAGGACTCCTGCCTGGCCTTCTCCTCCCCTCCGCTCCCATGATGCTCGCCAGCAGCTGCGGCTCTTCGCTGCTCCGCACAGTCCGAGGCAGCAGCATGGGATTTAGGGGACGTTTCGAGGCACGGGTCCGGCTGTACACCTCAGCTCTGCCCGTGGTTGCTGCTGTGTGTGCCCGAGCGGCGTAGCTCCATGTATAGCCAGCTTGTGTGCCTGCATGCACCTGCACTCCGTGTGTAATGAATTGGTGCAAGTGGTTGGAGTAGGTAGGGTGGTACGTGTGTTTTGAGTTTCTGCTGGGTCCTGGCTTGCTGGAGCACGGGGTTTGTTCCAGAGATGACTGGGAGCTGCTGCTGAAGCAGAGCTGAGTAACAAAATGTTGCCTGAGTTCGTAATACTGCCTGGCTGCCAGATGCCAGGCTGATCTGCTGAAAGGCCTTCTCTGCTTCTCCTTGACTCTGTCATTGCAGAAGGCTCTGGGAACAATAGCTGACTGTCTTTTCTCCCCTTTTGTTCCTAGATGGGGATGGTCGGAGGCTGAAAGGAGCCATCCAGAGGAGCACAGAAACGGGGCTGGCTGTTGAAATGCCCAGCCGGACCGTCCGTCAAGCCAGCCATGAGTCCATTGAGGACAGCATGAACAGCTATGGATCAGAGGGAAAGTAAGTCATTGAAAGGGAGCTGGGTAATCACTGTGGGATGCACTGTTCTTTTTACACCTATTAATTTTTCTTCAGAGTGATAGAGGATGTGTTTTTCTGACCTGCCTATGCTGCAGGTGTACTGCCCATTCAATTAGAGTAGAGAGGATCTCTCTGCCTGCATAGCTGGCGCATACTCTAGCTGTTTATGTACTTTTTTTAGTGTCCTCATTATTCTGAGCTGAAGCAGATACCCATTACTTCTAACCGCTTTGCCTTTAGAAGAACAATTCAGGGTGAATAGCTGAGACTCATTACTGGTAATAAATTATAAGCCAGTAGTCTTTAATGTTGCACAATAGCTGTCCCTCTTCGCTATTTCAAGATAGCGTTTTGGTTTGGGGAGGAAAGAAAGTGCCAAGGTGATGAAAAGGATGCAAGTAGCACAATAATAGTTCTGATATCAAAATACATATTTGGAAGCCTGTGTATACTTTTGGTAACAAGCTGTCTGTTGTTTCATCTGAGTTAGTGACCTAAAAGAATGTATCTTATAAGTGGTTTTTGATCCCAAGAGAAGTTATAACACACTGTGCTGCACTTAGGCATTATACCAGAATGCAACGCAGGGATCATTAAGCCAGAACTTTGGGGGCTGACTTGTCTCTCGTTTTCGTATTTCCATTATTTGAAGCCATATATGGAGATTGTCATCTTTTTATTAAGATGACCGTTCATGGGAACCTTGGGAGGTGATAAAAACCCAGTATTTAAAAAAGAGGGCAATATATACTATCAAATTCTGTGCTTCTAGGTATGAGGCCAAAATGTTTGTATAGCTAAAACGTGCTCTGTTTAAGCCAAGTACCATGCTTGGCATCGCTCTGTACACTCTTTAGTCCTGTGTGGTATTCCAAGTACACCGTGCTGCTAAAATGCTGGGATAGTCCAAAGGTGCTCTCGATTAATGTGATTCTGGTGTTAAATAAGTAACAGGCCGTAAATTAAGAGAGAGTTTCTTTAGCTTTAGAAGTAGGCTAATCCTGGAAAGGCATCATAGATCTGTGCTGAAGGTTGGAAATAGTAATGAGGCACAGGCTGCAATAGCAATCTTGTCACTCCAAAGCTGTGATGCACCTTATCTCTTCTGTGAGCTGCTGTCTCCGGGGAAATGTTCCTGCTACACCACCACAGTCCTGTGGCTTGGAGTTCTGCCTCCGCTACGAGATGCAGGGGATTAGTGATTAAGTTCAGTCCTTTGGCAATGTGGGGCAAGAATCTGCTTTTGAGCAGAGTAGAATTCTTTGCTTTTTATATTTACATAGCTTACCCTCCTGGGAAGGGGTATAATTCTCGGAAAGGTCTGTGTCCTATCATTGCATACGCTGGCTGCTTTGATTGCGCTTTCCTGGAGAGAGAGTATTTCTGCCAACAAAATGTTGCACCTGTACAAGTGCTGTTTTACCCTGAAGGCAGGTGGCATGTAGCTATCAGGTCAACAAAGAAAGAAAAATCCTGTCTAGCAATCCAAATGTCTTTATTAGAACAAGTCTAACATTTGGTATTTCAATCTCAAACGCTGCCAGGACATCTTTGCCAGCCCCTCTGCCAGGGATGGGATGGGTTCTCCTCGTACTTCTCTGAAAAGTGTGATTAAGTGGTTCCTGGATGCTTTGTTCCTCGGTGGGATAATTGATCTGCTCTGGAAAGCCGGTGGGAATTGCGGCGGTCTGTCTGAGCTGCAAGTGATAAGCAAACAGGGCTGAGAGTACAAAGAGCTAAGAGGGCTCTATTCTCTTGAAACATGGTGGGAGGGCGGTTTCTCTGCTTTCATTTCCTGCAGCAAAGAAAGGAATTGTTTGGGGAATAGCTTTGAGGGACAGAAATGTATTCTCCTAAATCAGATTTCTCTTGACCTCTCTCGTTTGCTGTAGCTGTGTTCCCAGGGAGGCAAGATGAAGATTCATATGACTGTGTTAGCTGTGGCAAGTTTATTTTCTTTTTAATGCTGGGTTTCTGACTGATGCAGATGCTCCTAGGTCAGAGACAGTTTTCACCAGTGACTATCAAAAACTCAATTTTCAGCAAGACGAGGTTGTCCTAGTTCTTCCTACCCATGCGTCTCTTCAGTATGTTCACACAGGGAAGAAAATGGATTCAAAACCTCATCTTCCAAGAGGCTTTGTTTTCCCAAGTTCTGTAGATTTTTGTAATCTTTTTCAGTTTAAGGACTAAAAGGACAACTTCCAAAAGTGGCACACTGAAATGATCAAAGATCTGGTGAAACTTCGCTGCGGAAGGTCTTTGAATACCTGCTCTCAGTTCTAGAAACGTGCTTTTAAAGTGGTGCTGATTGACTGCTTTCATGTTTGTTGTGGCGAGCTGGCTGCAGCTAGCTACAGCTGCTCAGTGCCCGTGCAAAGCATCGTGGCTGAAGAGTTTTCTGTAGTGCGTGATTTTGAGCAATGCCGCTTTTCAGGTGAATACCAGAGTGCATGAAATCCCGTTTTGTTTTGTTTTATGGAGATGCTTATTCTATAGGTATATGCTTCTCCTCAGACGTGCTAGGCCCTCCTTCAAGAAAATATTACCTTTAAGGTTTTACCTGAAGATGAACCGTACTGAAGATTACCTGGTCTGAAAGATGTCTCCTGGAGTTTAAGCTCGCGTGCATGCCAGTAAGTGCTGACAATGTCAACACACTACTCTGTTTAATTTTTTGCCATACAAAAAGTCCCCCAGCTCTATTACCCAGCTTTTCTGCTGCACAGTGGTTGTGCACTAGTGTGGGAAATGAATATAATACAACTCAGTGAGAGACCTTATAAAAGGGAAAGGTGATATTTATTCTAAACAAAGCTGTTTTCAGTCATTCACGCTTCTGGATTTCACTTGCTCGTGCTCTCACTGCCCCGTGCAGCACTAAGCCTTGTGCGTCCAGGTGCCGCAGCCAGCCTTGGTCGTGTGCCACAGGGAGGACCAGGGACACCGTCTGTCAAGCCCTTGCTATGTCTGCTGAGTTGTTCTTCACCACAGACTGGCTCTTGGACTGTTTTTTTACACTTTCTAGGACTTGCCTGTTATTATGGGGTGATCTTTCACCTCAAGGTCTTGGTTTTTTTGGCTTCTAACTCTGTTGTATTCCTCCTGTTGTCAGAAGACAGGTCTGCTGCTGACAGGGTGGTTGTGCTTTCACACACACAGATGTTTCCATTTATAATTCATCCAGACCAATCTTAGTACAGGTTACAAATGTCTGCAGCAGTGGGTATTTTCTTCTAGGTATGTACTTAAAAATCTGCATGTGAGAACAATTACCCACTGTAGCAAGTGCCTACCGGGTGGTCTCAGGACACCAGCATTACTGCAAGGATAAAATTCCGAATATAGGAATAACTCTCAAACCCCTGAGATTCGACAGAGGCCTCCTGCTCCATCCTGGCTCTTGCACAACCCACGTCTTGGTTTGGCTGGGTTTTGCTGCAGCTGCACGAGACCACGTACAGCATTCAGAAAGCAGTAGATTTTGCACTTAACGTGTAAATTACTCCTGCCAACCACTTTTCTTTCTGAAAACGGAGCAGAAATACAAAAATGAACCTAGAACAAAAGACTGCTAGCTGCCATAGTCCCTAAGAAGTGGTATTTGTTGGCTTTTTGTTCTTGCTGGCTACTGCTGAGATGATTAAGTTATGGAGAGCTAAGGTGATTTTTACCTTATGAAAGCACAGCAGGTGATGACTAGCAAAGACTCAGAGGATTGTTCTTGTCTTATCTGAGAAGAGTCTGCCCGTCCAGCAAGGAAGCATCTTCTTGTTAGCCATATCATCTCTCTCTTCCCGTCATGAGGGCAGCGGCAGCCTGAGCCCTGCCAGGAGCCACCGAAGTGACGAGGGCTGGAGGCAGAGCACAGCCTGGCTTGTGTGCCGCTGGCACTGGCATCTCGTGGCTCCAGCTCTGTCCTGTCTCCTGCTGCTTCTGCAAGCTGCGGCTTGTGCCGGTTCTCCCATTGGCGCGTACAGGGCTGATGTGAACCAATGCTGGGGCTTAGGCTAGGAGAGCTACCTGCCCTTCTCTGCTTCACTACGGAGCAGTAACTGAAAGGAAACTGGAGAATGTACTGGCCTGGCTTGTGACCGTATCGCCATGTGAAAATCCACTTTCCTTCACCAGAAAATTAATTTGTCATTCGAAAATTCGAGGATAGGTTTAGATTAGGTATGAGAAATAAATTATTTACTGTAAGGGGGGTGAGGCCCTGGCCCAGGTTGCCCAGAGAAGCTGTGGCTGCCCCCTCCCTGGAAGGGTTCAAGGCCAGGTTGGATGGAGCTCTGAGCAACCTGGTCTAGTGAAAGGTGTCCCTGCCCAGGGCAGGGGGCTGGAATGAGGTGAGCTTTAAGGTCCCTTCCAACCCAAACCATTCTATGAGTCTGTGATTCTAATTACCTAAAGACTTGATTCCTAAACGCACCATTCATGAGATTCATGTCATAGCTATTTGCTGAATGTCTCTTTTTCGGTATCCAAAGCCAGGGGACTTCTAGACCCTTAGAGAAATTAGGGCTCTCTGTTTATCCAAGTCCTCTTGAAAAAATGTAATGAAATGTGTTGTTAATGCAGTTCAGGCTGTAAGAAATCAAGGCCTTTCGAGATGGAAAGTGGGAAAGGCATGGGGATTGTTTCTGCAGCACACCAAGAAATTACTTGGCCTCTTCAGCAGCAGCAGCACATCCTTTTGTGCTGTTAAGCTTGACCAGCACAGCTCCGAGAGGATGCGACCTTGAGAGCTGTAGTTACAGCAGTAAATACAGTGAATCCCACCTTCAGCAAGCTCCTGGGAACAGGCAAAATTGCTCTCTGAAGGCAGGTAGCTATCTTTTTATTCAGTGCGTCTGTGATGACTTGTGATTGCTAAAAATGGAGCTAGCCTGGTAAGGTGGGGAAGGGAATGGGGGAGGTCTTTGTACGTAATTCACTGCATAGTTTTTATAGCTCCGTTTAGGTGGCAGAATTCATATGGC